CGTGCACTTAACCGCTTGCGCCACCAGCCTGGCCCAACCCATAGGTTATTTAGAAGTATGTTGGTGAATTTTCAAATATTTGCAGAAATTTCCAATTTTTGTTATTGAATTATAATTTTAATTTTCTGGTCAGAGAACATGATTTCAGTCCTTTTAAATAATTAAGAATTGTTTTATACTACAGCATATAATAGATCTTGATGAACATTCCATGCGTACTGAAAACAAAGTTCATTCTGCCACTGTGTTGGATGGATTATTTTAAAATATCAGTTGGGCCAGGTTCATTGATAGGGCTTTCAGGGCTTCTCTGTTCTTGGGGACTCGCTGTTTGCTTTTCTATCAGTTACTGAGAGAAGAGTTTTGAAATCTCCGACCATAATTGTGGATTTATCTATTTCTCTTCTCAGTTCCGTCAGGTTTTGCTTAATGTATTTCGAAACTCTGTCATTAGGTGCATAGACATTTAGAATTATGTCTTTTTTATTAATTTTCCCCATTATTATTATGAAATATTCCTTTTTATCTCTGGTAATATTCCTTGTCATGAAACCTACTTTGTCTGTTAATAATATAGCCACTCCAGCACTCTTATGATTAGTAATTGCATGGTATATGTTTTTTCATCCTTTAATTTTTAACCTTTTTGCTTTTTTTTAAAAAAAAAACATTTTATTGAAATATGACTAGCATATAAAAAGCTGTACATATTTAATGTATACAACTTGATGAGTTTGGAGATAAGTATACACACCTGTGAAACCATCACCACGATCTATGCCATAAACATATCCATCACCTCCAAAAGTTTCCTCCTGCCCTCTTTATTTTATTATTATTATTTTGTGATAAGAACACTTAACATAAGATCTACTCTCTTAGCAAATTTTAAGTGTAGAGTACGATATTGCTAACTGAAGGCTCCATGCTGTATGTAGATCACTAGGAGTTACTCATCTTGTATAACTGAAACTTTATACTCTGACTAACACCTGCCTGTGGCCTCCTCCCCCCAGCCTCTGGCAACCACCACTGTACCTTCCGCTTCTATGAGTTTGCTTAACTTAGATTCCTCAAGTACGTGATGTCCTGTAGTACCTGCCCTTCTGTGTCCGCCTCGTTTCACTGAGCATGATGTCCTCCAGGTTCATCCATCTTGTCGCAAATGAGAGGATTTCCATCTTTTTTAAGGTTGAATAATATTCCATTGTATGTATATACCACATTTTCTTTATCCATTCCTCCGTCAATGGATATTTAGGTTGCTTCCATGTCTTAGCTACTGTGAACAATGCTGCAGTGAACGTGGGTGTTCAAATATCTCTCTGAGATCTTGATTTCAATAACCTATTTTTCTTTATATTTGGGTACATTTTCTTTGTGTTTGAGTACATTTCTTGCGGGCAGGATGTAGTTGGGTCTTGCTACTTTAAAAAGTCTGACAACTTGTCTTTTACTTGAACCGCTCAGATCTCTGGCCAGTGGGGGGCCCTGGGAGGGGAGGGTGTTAGTGCCTCTTTCTCCTAGCACTTGCTCACCTTCCCTGGTCTGTACATCAATATCCTAGCACTTGATTTTTATTCTGAGAGTTTCTCAACATGTATGATGTCCAGATGCATTAATCCAACCTGCACTAATGACAATATTTGTCTTTTCGTGGGTACGCTGGCCCTAAAATCCCTAGAGAACCCTAGCTGTGAACTGCTCCAGCTGAACACATTCTTGTGTCTGTCTGGTGCGGAGGAAGAGACACCAGCCTGGGTTTTCAAGGCTAATAGAGGCTCTGCTTCTAACCAGCCATGGGCCCTCTGGCAAATTTTTGACATTCTGGGTCTCACTGTCCTCAACTATAAAATGAGGAGATTGCATCAATGAACCTCTAAAGCCCCTCCCACCGCTAATATTCTACAAGGTTATTAATACTCCTTAAAGATCATTATAGGTAAACAGCAGGGAATATGAACCAGACAAGTTCTGAGAACCAGCTAAAAAAAGTGCTACAGAGCCATCAGAATGGGACAATAAGTTGGGTCTCATCTGCCCCATTGTAACCTAGGCTTCCTTTTCCTAATGATTTTGGCTCAGTGGCCTCTGTGACAACAGGTCTGCACCAAGGTAGTTTGAGGTTGACACCAGTACACCACTGCAGACTGGATGGATTGGGCTCAGCATCTCCTTCCTCCTTTTTCCTCCTCACTCTATCCCTGCCCTTGCCCCACTAGAACTACGCAGGCACTTATTCTTGTACCTAAGAATCCTTAGAGCTGCCCTCTCTAATATGGTAGCCACTAGTCACACATATCTATTGAGCCCTGCATTCTGGCTAGTCTAACTTGAGATGTGCTGTAAGCGTGAAATACACACCAGACATATAAAACTTAGCATGAAAAAATATATAAAATGTCTCATTAATAATTTTTATATTGATAGCATGTTGAATGATAATATTTTTTATATATTGAGTTTTAAAATACAGCATTAAAATTAATTTCTCCTGTTTCTTTTTACTTTTTTAATGAAGCTATTAGAAAATTTTAAGTTATGAATATGGCTGACTTTATATTTTTGTTGGACAATACTGCTCTATAGAGTATCAAATTTAATACCTTTTGGTGATAATAATAAATCTATTTATAAAGGGAAACATCCTGTAATTGGACCCTCATTATGCATTATGTAACTTTAGCTAGTCTGTTGGTTTTTTCTCCCCTCTGTCTCATAGAATTCAAAAAATAAAACCAACCTATCATGACAAAGTGAATGAATCTTTTCATGTTTTCCTCTTTTTTCTTTCAAATCACTGGCGATCTCTGGGGAAGATGGTGATAGCAGGACACTGGATATGTTAGCAAACAGAGAGCCTTTGGGGAAGTGTGGATTTGTTTGTTATCCAGGACAGGGAAATTTAGCCGAGCACCAGTTGTTCATCTGGAAAATGAGTTGCAAAAGCACCTGTGCACATCTATAGCTTCCCCACCTGTACTTTGCTAAAATTACACACACACACACACATTTAATTGACTATGTTATATATCAGTGTCAGGCAATTTTCCTCCTGGCTGTTTTTTCTTTATTATTATCATCAGTATTGTTTCTCCTTCAGTTTCTGTCTCTTTCAAATTTTGTGGACCAGACACTTGTTTCCCTCACATAGCAGCTACTTCAGAAATCACAGGACTTACGGGAAAGGAATTGGTAAACTAGATTTGCGTCTTGAAGTGTTGTGAAAGTTGAATGTGAGGGGGATGGAGAGGTAAGAGGGAGGGCTTTAGGGTATGAGAGTAGGATAACAGTTTCTAATTCTTTGGTAAAGAAGTGTGTTAGGCTGGAAGGACTTCTGTGTCCAGAAAGAACTCTCAGAATGAGAAGTGTTGGCTGTCTTTCATTTTGTCCAGGAGAACTGTCTTGGGTGGACATAAACCCCTTGGGGAGATGTCTGATTAGCAGTAGCAGGGAATGGCAATAGTGCATGTTAGCTGATGCCGTCTCCTCCTCTTCTATGCCTCCATGAGACTTGTTCACTTCTCCATCACAGACATCCAACACAAGGCAGGCCTGGGCTCCCTAAGTCTGGGAGGAGAGGGAAAGTGGTGGTTGCTATCAATACCAGGTGAGCCCACTCTGAACAACCCTCTATAGTGCAGTCCGAGGGATCTTCTAAGATGCCAATCTGATCATATCATGCTTGAAACCCTTCAAACAACTCTCCATAATTTTTAGGAAAAAATTCAAAACTCATAGCATGTCTAACAAGTCCTTCCACATCTGGTTCTTTCTATTTCTCTAGCATCCTCTCTCGCCCTATACTTGCAGCCCCCATGAGACACCTTTCTCTCTTCCTTTGGCACCTCTACTGATATTATTCCCCCTATACATTCAGTTCAATTCTGTAGACCTTTAATGAGCACTTATTATGTCTCAGGCATTGTTGTGAGGCTACCAAGATGAAGAGGACAAGGTCCCTTACCTCAAGAAGCTTATTACACCTGGAACGTTCTTCCTACCCCAACAGCTGTCAAATTTGAAGGCTCAGCCTGTGTCACAGCAGGCTTAAAGGCTTCTCTGGCCTTGCCAAGACAGAACTATCCTCTGTGCTTATTTCTAGAACATCTGGAACAGTGCTGCACAAAGTGCCAGTCCACTATGAGATAAGGAGCTTGTCCCAGAATTAAATCAATGCATTGCTTCTTTTATCAAGAAAGCCTTAGTTAAAAAATAATGTCAGCTGGACAAAACAATTTACTTAATGGTGCTTGCTAGTAGAAAGCACTTTGCAGACACAGAGTTGGTCATTGGACTCCAGAAGGAGAGAATAAAGAGAATAGAGAAGAGGTGGAATTTTGAATATATAATTCCTGAGAATTTGGAAACTAAATTATACAACAAAGAGTTGTAGCTAGTAAGCTAACAAAGAAAACACAGTGGAATCATAAAAATAATCCATAGAAAACAGAAAATAAAGGGAAAAGGGAACAAGAAACAGATGGATTAAAAAACCAAGTAGCGGGGCCAGCCCGGTGGCACAAGCGGTTAAGTGCGCGTGCTCTGCTGCAGCGACCCGGGGTTCACAGGTTCGGATCCCGGGCGCGCACCGATGCACCGCTTGTCAAGCCATGCTGTGGCAGTGTCCCATATAAAGTAGAGGAAGATGGGCACAGATGTTAGCTCAGGGCCAGTCTTCCTCAGAAAAAAGAGGAGGATTGGCATCAGATGTTAGCGCAGGGCTGATCTTCCTCACAAAAAAAAAAAAAAACCAAGTAGCAATATAATAGACTTAAACCAATCAAATGAATAAATATATTAAGTGTAAGTAGTCTAAACAACCCAATTAGAAGATTGTCAATTACAACAATTAGAGAGTGTTGTATTGAATGAAAAAGGAAAATCTAGCTATACACTGTCCACAAGAAACCTTCTTTAAACATAAAGACACAAATAAGTCAAAAGTAAATGAATAACAAAAGATAAACCATACTAACACTAATCAAAATAAAGTTGAGGGTGACGTCAGTGTCATGGTGGAGTGAGCTTCCCCGTAAACTCTTCCGCTGATAAGATACAATGAAAGGAATAGTCACAGAACAACAACAGACTCCTAGACAGTGAAAAGCAAGATTGGAAAGATCTACACTGCCGCACATCTGAGAGTGGAACGTGCTGGGCCCCCGGAGGAAGTGAGGAGAGGTAAGGAGAACTCCTCTCCCTCCCCATCAGATCAGTGATCCCGGTCAGCCCGGCTCCCAGAGAGGGGGGAGGGGCGGCACTCTGCGGGAAACCGGAGCTCTTCGGGCTCTCTCAGCCAGTGGGAAACTCCCACACAGAGGACTCAGAACTGCTACAGGGGTACCATCAACATCTGAGCACCCCAGGAGAGTGGATAATGAGGGGCAAGTGAGAAGCCCCCCACGCCAGGGACCCAGCAAGCAAAAGAGAGAGCCCCCCCTCCCCGCAAGCTGGACACTGCAGCTCAGCTGACCAGACCAGACCAAGCAGCTGGCAGATCACAGCGAACAGCTGGGTCAGAGCACAGGGGGCTCAGATTACACAGCCCTTAACCCCCACCACCCTCCACACACAGTGGCGGCGGGTAGAAATTGCAACCAGATATTTCCAGGATGAGGAAAAATAAAGCCAATACAGGAACCACAATGCAAAGGTACATGAAATCACCAGACCAGAAGGAAAATGACAAGCAC